TTCAAGTGGGCAAAATATAATGTACAGAAAGATTGCCCGTATACACTGAAAAGTAAGCAACCAACAGCCTGTATAAAAGGGGGGCTGTGATTGGTTGTTACTTAGGCGAGATTTGAACGGGACTTACATAGGCGTCGGATCAGATGTAGGTAGGGCGGAATTTTAATCAGATTGAGTGACGCCTATTCAAGAGATTATATGATGATTCTTGAAATCTGGTAGAAGAACAAATAATATCATAACAATGTAAACTTACCAACAAATATAAAATTGCTTGCTTCTTCAAGTAAGTCCTCTTTCATACTCAACACCGTGTGAATTATCAGATCTTTCAACTCTTCTTGCTTCTGACTTGCAATTTCCAACAAAGATTCGTATAGAAAAATTTCTTTCTCCTTGGCATATCGAACCCTCCTTGGCGTGATCATCATATCCCTGGCCATGTCAAATGCAGTGGTGATGAACATCTTCAGGCAACGCTGATGAGCGTTATTTAAAATTGAAGCCGCTGTGACAAGGTGCGACTGAAGTACGTGCCTGACGTACAGCAACACTGTGGAGAAGTTATCAAAGTTTGTAACAAGCTCACTGTCAACTGTGACACTGAGAACTTGAAGATTTTTGTAAAAAGGTTTTTTACTTGCTTCGTGGGACAAGTAGCCGAGTTCATGCAACTGCTCTCGTATTGTTATTGGACGCTCATCAGAGTCATTTGAGTCGCATTCATTGTTAACGCCTTCGGGGCAGCCATTGCATTGTGTATTCTCTTGAACAGGATTATATTTCAGACAATGTTTTGCAGATTCTGTAAGTTCCGTCACACCGATGCTGTGCGTACACACAAAGTATATCGGTACTTCGGGAGCGGCGCTTCGAAGTTCCGCAACTCCTGCACCTCTTTGTCTGTTAAACAGTTATTTTCGAGAGCGTAAATAACTATAGGAAGCACTCCTTCACAACATTTCTGATAGACCTGTATGATATTTTGTCCGATGCAATTACAAGGGGATACTACTAGTTGTGCGCCTTCTTGCAACAACGTGTGACTGATGCAGACTTCTAAAACAGCGCTCCGAAGATACGGGTCAAACTGCACGTCTCCCTGTATCTCCATTTCCTCCTTTGGCACTGTAGTCCACTCACTTTTATATATATGTAAATGCTCATCCACAAGTTCAAAACTATCGGGCAGCATAAAACTCAAATGATTCTTAATTCCGTAGCGTATCCGGACCATACGACAACTGCCTGTTTTGTACCCGCTGTCAACCTGCGGCAGTACTTGGTCCCCAAGGAGTTCATTGACAACTACGAGTTTAGCATAACACGTCTGGCCAAGCACCAGTATACAAGGAGGCTTCTCTAGGGTGTTATTCACGCATTCATCTTCATTTTCAGGGATTTCAATAAAAGAAATCTGACCTGTAAAAGAGAAGACGTTAACATACATCAATTGAATAGGATCCATAAAATCTGTAATGCCGTTATATTATAGTAACATTTTCCAAATTTTATAATAAAAAAAAATTGTATGTATACTTCTATGTATGTAAATAATTTCATCCATATTTATGACCTAATATGGAAAAAATTACTGCAGGTGTTTGAAACGTGACTAAACTTGACTTTGGCTTTCAAACATAAAAACTGTTACATTATTCACGTGTATCAATACACCATTTGTCATGAACAAATCATTGTATCAGTAAATGCTTTATGCTTTTAAAATTACACTGTGGTATTTCTATAAAATAAAATATGAGATTTTTTGACATATTTAAAGACAAAAAAATCAACCAATTAATCATCATAAACAAAGTCATGAATATAAAAAACTAAGAATAGTAAATACTAAAGGCTGTCTACATGTATTATACAGTACACTGAGGTCAATGCACTATCTCACAATCTAACCACCATGCCCATTATATTACATTCACCGTAGGTGTACGTTTAGCATTCCATAGCTAACGAGTTGACCTAAACATATATCGCAGGGCGTTGTTAACATACTTTTTCAAATCTGACCACCACCTACAGTCTAAATACCGTATTTGCTCTATTAGAAGAACATTTTTAATAAAAGCACACTCAACCCCCCAAAAAAACACAATGATTGTATACTGGATACTTAAAGTGCCTGTGCAATGCCCACCCACACGCTTCCCATTTTAGATCTGTGCCCCACTGAAATGGGCAATTATTGATTTTTTTGCTGAAAATGATTACTCGTATCCAAGTAAATTTGAGATATTTCCCGTGCTGTAGCCACGCCCACCTATCCTGAAACGATCGACTGTTTCCGGATTTTCGACTCTTGCCGAAAGTGCGCCACCAAATGCAAAAATATGAGAGGAAGCCATACCCCTGGGCCGTACTTTTATATCACTGTGTCATTCAACGTACAACTGTACTTTTAAACGAAATACCGTGAAAATAACGAGAAAAGGTTGGGGTGGACTTCCTCCTAACAGCGTCATATGCAGTGTCCACTTCACCTCAGATTCTTTTTTTTGTTTTTGAAAAACTGTCCTTGTCCATGACATAACAACTAGGTTTTAACGAGAAACGCCGAAAATACAAAACGTTTTCGAAAAAATAGAT